TTTAGGCTTTTGACACACGTTGTGCTTTACTTTCCCGTCTCTGTTCCTCTTCCAGCTGTGATCGGCGCAGGGATCGGCGGAACAGCCGCAGCCTATTACCTGAGGGAGGAGTTTGGACCTGTTGTCAAGATCGATGTGTTTGAGTCAGGGACAGTTGGAGGGCGCCTGGCAACGGTGAAGATGGGTGATTATGAGTACGAGACCGGAGGTGCTGTGATCCACCCTCTGAACCTACACATGAAGCAGTTCATTGAAAAAATAGGTAACTTCAACACAACCACGGCTTATTTGACAGATCATCAGATTTTCTAAACTTGATGCCTCGTTGTCAACAGGTATTCCTCAGAGGAAAGACGTCCCCTCGAAAATGGCGATCTTCGATGGGAAAGAGCTTGTGTTTGAAGAGAGCGACTGGTTCATTGTTAACTTCATCAGGATGATCTGGCGCTACGGATTGGGTTTTGTCCGCATGCAGATGTGGGTGGAGAGCATTCTGGACAAATTTATGAGGTGAGAAATTAGATTTCGCAGATTGCAGTTGCAATGCTGCAACATGAGCTCAGAAGTGTTGCAGGTGCCCTAATTCTCCTGTACATCCTGTTGTTGACAGAATCTACCAGTACCAGCAGTATGGCTACTCGTTCTCCACTGTGGAGAAGCTCTTGCACGCCATGGGAGGCGACAGCTTCCTCACGCTGATGAATCAAACTCTGGAGGAGGCCATGATGGGAGATGGATTTTCACAGGCCTTTATCAACGATATTATTGCTCCCATAACACGTGTGAACTATGGCCAAAGCGTCCGCATCAATGGCTTTGTGGGTATGTGTCTTCACAGGAATACTTGAGCCTCTTTTACAATTTTTTTCACATTACAGCCACAACTTGGCTGTAATGTGAGTATTTTGGGGGGAATTTTAGGAGCTAGATTAATTAAAAAGTAGTGCATAATTAGAAGGACCGTAAAAGGAAAATGATGCATGTTTTTTTTTTTTTTGGGTAAGGGTTTTTTTTTTTATCCTCCATACTGTTTTTACGCAGATCAGATCTCCTTCTTTCAAATGTTCTCCTTCTATAGTAGCCACTTAAGCTAGTAAAAGAAATATGACAAAGAAAATCCATTTTATTCTATAAAAAAACAATATGACACTTCATCTCAAGTTTGAAGTATGAAAAAAAAATTAAGTGCAAAAATGTTTCATATGCACCAGGATGGCCACCTCGTTTAGAAATTAAAGTGCAAAGTTAAATTGAGGCATTAAACACAACCTTTTATGTAACACTTCGCTTCAGTTCTGAAGTTTCAAGAATGAAAATGATTTAAAAAAATATAAAATAGATATTTCTAATTTTTTTTTACGTAATTAGTCTCCTTGAAACTTTCTGAAAAATTGTAAAACAGCCAAAACACAGAATTTTTTTTAAAATCTGGACTAATAACCCAGCTGTTTAGAGTTGCTTTTGTGCCATAAATGAAACTAGCCACACTTTGTGTAATGTCGGCAATTGGAAAAATGTAATGTTTCAATTGTTCATTTTCTTGTTTTTATAATGTAAAGCACTTTGAACTGCCTTGTTGCAGAAATGTGCTATACAAATAAAATCTGATTGACAAACAAGTACAATAAGTGAGAAATGTAGATGTTAAACAAAAGCTAAAAACAGGGAAGGTTTCACTAACAGGCCTGCAGAGAGCAAAGTCAGGGGTCAGTAAGTATTTGAAACTGTCAGCAGTTTTACAATAATATCAGGTTTACTTTGGGTTCATCCCTCCAGAGTGAATTTAACATGTAATGTTTCAGGGGCGGTGTCGCTAGCTGGGACAGACTCGGGCCTGTGGGCAGTGGACGGTGGCAATAAGAAAGTGTGCTCTGGACTCCTTTACCACAGCAAGAGTGATCTCATCCCTGCTAAAGTCAGCTCCATTTCTATGAAGACCCGACCATCAAAGAGGGGTAACCTCCATGTTGCTTCATTTAGCATAAAGCTGTCTTTATTTTATTTTCTCTGCTTCACCAAGTCCCCTCTCTGCTCTCTATTTTCAGGAAGCACCATCCCTTACTACGAGCTCAACTACGTCGGAGAATCCGGCTCGGCTCACTCTCTGTACGACATCGTCGTCATAGCGACGCCACTTCATCAGGGAAAGTCTGATATCACGTTCTCTGGGTTCTCCCCTCCCATCCCGACTCACTACCCGGGTCTCTACCACCAGACGGTGGCCACCCTGGTGCACGGCACCCTGAACGTGTCCTACCTGGGCACCGCCGAGGCCGCCTCCGAGTTCACCGTGTCCGAAATCCTCACCACCGACTCCAAGGGCTGCGCCATCAATAGCCTGAGCTCTCTGGACCCCGTACACATCCCCGATGGCTACGAGCGACCCCCGGCGAGCCACCCTAAAGTCTGGAAGGTGTTCTCCTCAGAACCGCTGACCCCGAAGCAGCTGCAGCAAATGTTTCTGTCCTACGACTCCGTGTCCGAGACCCCGTGGCTCGCCTACCCATCTTACCGTCCGCCGCACCGGAAGACGCCGCCCTTCGTCCTGCACAACCGGCTATACTACCTCAACGCCGTGGAGTGGGCGGCCAGCGCCATGGAAATGAGCGCCATCTCGGCCCGGAACGTGGCCCTCCTGGCTCATCACCGCTGGCACGAACAGACCGACAAGATCGACCAGGAGGACCTGCACATGCGGCTCAGAGGAGAACTGTGAAAAATCAAATCGGGATAAGCAACCAAACCTGTGATTTCAACCACACAGATTACATGATTATGAAAAATATTTTTCCTTTCAAACAAAACCACTTTAAAACATGCAACAGTTTTTCTCTCTCTCTTTTTTTTGTTTTTTTTTGTTTACCCAGACTGAACCAGACAATATAAAAATAGTTCTAACACTGAAGCAAGCCGCACTAAATGGTAGATCTGGAGTCTTTGAGTCTTAGTCTGCATTGCACTTGTCGTAAACCTAATTCAACACTTCCAGTTTGTCTTCGTGGCTTTTTAGCTAAATTTTTTTCCTGACTGGAGGATTTTTCCGATCGGTTTACTCGTCTTCCGTTAACTTCCAAGTGTCTCTACCTCCTCAACAAAGTGCTGCGAGTTTTGCTGCCAAGTTCAGGCATCGAGCACCAAAGGTTGATAATATTGAGAGATTTCAGTGCCACCTATTTCAAGACAAACTGTAAAAATAATAGCTTTAGAAATTTGATTGTGCCTTAATGAAATCGGAGTTGGAGTAGTAAACATTTTGGAAAGTTCTTCTGGTCCTTATTGAGATTTTTGTCAGAAAAGCCTGAGCACAGGACCAACTTGCTTTTTGTGCTTGGCGTTTCTGTTTTTTTCCCCTTCATTTCTTGGATAATAAGGATCATTTTAATTTTCTGACTTGTAGTCAGAATTTATGTTGGGAAAAGATACTTGACTTGTTCTCTACTTTCAGGTTCTTTTGTACTTTTGGACAGAAATTGTAGTTCGGGGGGGGGAGAAATCACTCGTTAAGCACCTTTAAATGATTTTCTCTCTAGAGTTTTACAGAAAGTGGCACTTTAACTAGGTTCTGGTTTTACACACTGCTTTCCAAATAAGTGTCATGTTAAACCACACTGAAAATGCCCAAACAGTCTTTTAGATTTCAAAATGCGTTTACAATCATAATAAATTAATGAGACTGTTTCTGCTTTGTCTTCTGATTCTTGTTTTTCTGCAGACCTTCTGGCCAAACTTTAACCCCTGAGCTAAGGACATTTGAAACTGTTTCCTGTTTCATGAATAGAGAAATAGAAATAAATGATACAATACCAGATACAACAAAATCTAAACCAAGGTCGGGATTTTATCCCGGGAACATATTTTTCAGACAAAAATCTTTGTGTTTTGATCATCTCCACTGTTTAAATGAATCCACTGACAAGGTTTTCCTGTGAATCCATTATGTGGGCTATTGCTATTACAATTTTAATTTATTTTTACTCAAACTCTAAATTTTGAGGTATTGTAATAAATTAAATCAATTTGAACTGAATCTAGGCCAAATAGATTTTGGCCTCGATCACAGGTTCATCATTTGAACCTGATTCATTTGAATCACAGGTTCAAATGATTTAGCATTTGAACATGTTCCTCTCAGACAGTTCCTGTTGTATTCGTTCTGAATTAAATGGAGATAAATTTAAATAAACTAATTTCACAATTAGATATTTAAAAAAAAAGAAAAAGTAAGAGGTCTGGAAAATGGACAAAATAAACACTTAACAGCAAAACTGCTGTGGATGAGACGATTCCTTAAAAACTACCTTTGTACATTTTTCTTTCATAAAGAAACTCTTTAAAATCAACCCACTTTTTATAGAAAAAAACTAGAAAGGATATTTCTGTTTTACCCGAACTAAAGATAGTTAAAGTTGGACTGAAACAAATATGGAAAAAAGTCCAGATTTTAATTAAACCTTAAATTATTGATAGAATGGCCCATATTGAAGAGAAGCAAAACAATATATATATTTTTTTTTTGTCCTTAAAGCTCAAGCTCTGTGACGGGTATTATGATGCAGATTAGTCTTAAATCCATAACTATTATGGGTTTATCAATTTTACTATAATTTTGATGTTGAAAATAAACCATGCACCTTTTATCCCGATAATATCTCCATCTCTGATGCTCTGCGGGATAAACTGGGGAATTGTTGCATCGACAAACATTGTGACCCATCCTTCATGAGCCAAGTGTGTTCTGTGAAGTCACCATTTCCATTCGACAAAGCCGACAAACATTGTTTTCAGCCTTTATAACATGGAGTTCCTTTGTTTTCCTTTTCATCTCACTTCCCAAATAAAGCCCCATGTGACCCTGGGAGCCAACAATGCCTCGCTTTGACAAAGGGAATAAGGATGCGTCTGTTTGGTGATGCACCACCAAGCTGTCCTCTCAGGTGGGGAGGGACAATGGTACCAGAACCGCCTGTGGATGCAAAACATGCGATGGGACTGAAGATTTATATAAGGGCCCCAAACAAGGCAGCTCAGACATCCTGAATCCTGCACAAACCGGACCAGCAGCCAACATGAGATTTCTGGTGCCGCTTTCTGTCGTCCTTGCTGTGGCAGCTTTTCACTCTGGTGAGAGTCAGAAAAAAAAAAAAAAAAAAAAAAAA